TTTACGATCTGGGGTTTAGGGTTTAGGATTTAGGGCTTAGGATTTAGGGTTTAGGGTTTAGGGTTTAGGGTTTAGGGTTTGGGGTTTAGGGTTTAGGATTTAGGGTTTAGCGTTTAGGATTTAAGGTTTGGGGCGTAGGGTTTTAGAGTCACGTGGAAAATCGGACCAAAAAGTGGGAAGTACTACAGGACTTAGGGTGTAGGATAGGGAATGCAAGAGCGATTGGACAATGAAATGGAAATTGGGGGCTTGTAATGGGTTTATGGTTTAGGGTTGCTGGTTGTTAGGAGAGAATGTAGGAATGGAAAAAATGGCAACTTAGAAGGTTCTGGGTTTCGGGTCTTGTGTATCGGGTCAGGGAATGGAAAAAAAATGGACAGACAAATTCATTCAACGAGGGATATGTAGGGGATGCTATAGGGACCCCTTCCTCCATAACCATCTACCCCATGTTGATAACCGATCGCTGCTGCTGCGCAGGGTAATCTAGAATAATTTCAATACCCAATCTAAGTCCATTTTCGTACTGTTCCTTATATAAACCACCATTTTGGGTGAGGTCGGGTGAGGTCGCTTTAAATTGACCAGTTGAAGCCTGAGTAATGATGCATATTATCCTCTCATACTCCGTGCACAGATTTTTCTACTACCTGACAAACCCTACCCTCATCATTTGAGACCTATTACAAGCCAAAGCCCTAAATCTGACTCTAACTCTTTCATTTGAGGCCCTTACCTTGGATCGACTGGGAGATACTCACTGCATGGCCCTATGGTCTCTAGAAAGCCTTGATGCAAGCCCTAGAGACCCTGATGTAAGCCCTTTCCACTGTGGTATGGTCCTTATACACTTCTGTGTTCTACATTTCTGCGTCCAGCCTGCGTGACCCTGATAAAAACACTACATACGCCGTCTCCCTAGCTAGCCAGCCAACAGAATATTCATTCATGTCACTGTTTCAGGGAGGGATTACTGCAACACGCCACCAACCGAGCACAGGTTGACGCCCTTAGCAGTTTTACTTAATGGTGTTGTAGTAGGGACTGCAATCAGAACTTGTAGAGTAAGGATTTGTTTGCCATTTCCATTTCAGAGCCCCTGCGGACAAATCATTACGTCATTTGCGGGCTCTGGAGATACTACATCGCAAAAAAAAAGGCGTGCTATTCGGAATGGCCTCATATATCCGAAATGAATCCTGAAAAAAAAAACAATGGCCTCTGCGCCATGAACATCTCAACTGCAATCCTTGCCAACAAATATCCGGAGCCGGCCATGACCCGAAACCTTGAGGCCTCAAACCCTCAATCATAAGGACATATAGGGTCACACAGTGAGAGAAAGAGATAGAGAGACACAGC